ATTTAACTCCTTAATCTATTTTGAATTGATTTTTGCATAGGGTGAGAGTCAAGGGTACAATTTTATTCTTTTGTATGTGGATATCTGGTTGTCCCAGCACCATTTATTGAAGAGACTATCATTCCCCATCATGTGTTCTTGGCATCTTTGTTAGAAATAAGCTATCTGTAGGCAATGGCTATTGGGGCTTTCTATTCCATTCCATCAATCTGCATGTCTATTTTCACATTGTCATGTTTTGTTTACTATGTAGGTTTACTATAGTTTCATGATATATTTCAAAATCAGTATAATGCTCCACTTTCATTTCATTCTTTTTACTCATGACTGCTTTGGTATTTATGGTCTTTTCTGATTCTATACAAATTTTAGGATTTCTTTTTTTTTTTCTTTTTTTCTATTTTTGTTATGAATGCCATTGGAGTTTTAAAAGAGATTGCCTCAAACCTAAAAATTGCTTTGCATAGTATGGACATTTTAACACTACTTACTCTTCCAATTCATGAACCCAAGATACCTTTTCATTTATTTTCTGGAATGTATATAAATAGCCTTGTGCAATAAACTAAAAAATGCACTTCTGTGTGCACACATTTTTTAAAGATTTATTTGTTTATGATGTTTGTGAAGGGACCAACAGGAAGACAAAAGAATTGGTTCCAAAAGCAAAGCATTGAGGAACAGAGATTTATATGGCCAGTTGAAAAAGAAATACCAAACTAAGTTTCCCAAGATAGATACAAGATTGATTAATTTTCTACAAGACAATAGGATCAAATCCCCTTTGGAGTTAATTTCTCTATCAGGCCATAGCATCATAAGAACTCAGCCATCTTTTTTTAAAACTTTTTTTATACCTTTATTTTATTTTATTTTATTTTATTTTATTTTATTGTGGTTCTGAGGATTGAACCCAGGGCCTGGCACATGCTAGGCAAGTACTCTACTGCCGAGCCACAACCCCAGCCCAGAACTCAAGCTATCTTTATAAACATCTGCACATTTATATTTGCATATATTTGTTAATATATTGCAAACCCAAGAGTACCATATGAGAATTGTAGTGAACTGTATGGTGGCTTCCAAAAGAGATGTCCACATCCCTCAGAATTTGCAAATATTACCATATATGGCAAAGATGTGATTAAGTTACTATAGATTTCCAGAAAAGTGAATAATTCTTTTCTACTTGGGTGGGTCCTGAATGTAACCTCATAAGAGTAACATGGGGTGCGGAGGAGATTGAGAGAAAAAAGGAGGAGATAATGTGGAGTGACATGCCTATAAACCACCTGGAGCCACCAAGTACTAGCAGAAGCATGGGACAGATTATCCCCCGCAGAGCCCTCAGAGGGAACATGGCCCTGATGGCACTTTATTTTGGACTTCTAGCCTCCAGAACTTTGAGAGAATAAATATCTGTTGTTTGAAATCACCTAATTTGTGGGAAATTATTATAGCAGCCCTACGAATCTAGTACAGGAGTCAAGTGCACTTACTAGAAAATGCTCTAGCGTAATATTAGGAAATCAAGCAATCTTAAGTTGCCTTTTTCAAAGTTGGAGTTACATTTTTCTTTCACAAGCCCTACTGGACTTCTCAGACGTCTCCTGGAAGATGACTAAGAGGTAGTTCTACATCCCAATTTGTTGAGTTTTTAAGTGCTCAGAGAATAACACACCGGGAAATAGTGGCTACAATCCCTTGGGAAGGGGTGTCAGAGGCAGATCCTCTGCACTGAGGATGCTGCCCTCTGCAGAGAGCCCAAAAGAATCAAGGTGAGCACAGTGCCTGTGGCGTGGCACTATGTGGTTATGGGTGTTAAGGTGGCAGGTACAATCACCCATCGAGTGAGGGGCCCTTTTCCCCACTAGGACTCAGTTGTGTCTATTTTTTTTTAAGCCTTTGCTTTCATTTTTACCTCTGCTAAGTAAACAAGGACCCAAGGAAGCCACCTTTCCTGGTTTCCCACAGGGCCACATTACCTCTCCCTGTCAGTGGACAACCACGTGGATTTTGAAGGCTTGTCATTTCCAAAAACAAAATAGTGTAGATTGAGAAATGTAATGTGCATAAATTAGAAACCAAACAGCTGCATATTTCACACTCTCCATCAAAGCTAAATAAAAAGAGTTTGCAGTCCACAAATATTCAAACTATAAGTGACCTAAGCAGTCCTTTTTTAAGCTAGAAATTCTTCATGTTTTTTTCAATCTGCTGAACCCAGGGACCATGCAATTTCCAAATAAAAACATTCAGCCACAGTCAAAAAATCACGTTAGTTGGTGCTGTTACTAAATATATATAAAGGCATGTAGCCTTGCTTATAAAATACAGCTCTCATAACTTTCTTATGATTTATTGCAACCTATTGACATTTATGTCTCCACCCTCATGAGCCAAAATCTAATTGAACGTTTTTAATTCACTTCGTGGATATTATGAATGAATTGTTGACTCTGAAACTTAATATGGTATTTTTGGTTTTAAACAAAACTTGATTGGTATTTTTAAATTGAATTCAAGTACCTTGGATACTTTTGCTTCTGTATGGGTTTGCTTCCACAATACGGGAGTCCAACAAATTGGCACATTATTTTTATAAACTTGTATAAAATCTGGTTCTAAGGCCCCACTAGCCAGGATGGTGTGGTAGTCAATCTCACCTAAGTCTGAGGTTCCCTCCCTGCCCACTGTCTGGACTGGGAGCAGGTAGTCACTGGGAACAGGTAACCTCCCAGGAGGCTATTTGCTCACAGTGCCCAGTGAGCCCAGCCCACTTAACAGTGAGACGCTGGCACCCAGGCAGGCCCAGAGACCGCTCACCACCCTTCCTGACCACAAGCACACTGCAGTGGCCTCACTCCTGCACACCCACAGGCCAAAGCCTTTATTAGGCAGCTCCTATGGTCATCCTGCAGCCATTCCCTTCCCCGATGGGCGGGTGCAATCACAGACCTCAGCCAATCCAGATGCAGAACAAAAATCTATTGCCCTCTCAATTTCCCATGAGCTCCCTCTTGGCCAGGAAGCCTTGATAGAGAACCCCTTCTAGGGTCAGGGAGAAAAAATACCTTTAATTCATTCACTTATCTTTTCACCAAAATCATATTTTCAAAAAAATGTGTATTGACTACAGGAGCACCTACTATCTGCCCGGAGATCATGGGGAAACTGCAATACAGACAACAAGGAGGAGATAACAATGTTTCTATAAATTAACCTTCCATATTCATTAGAGCAAAACATAGTCTGACCCTCATTTAGGATCAGAAGTTTTCAATGTAATTACTCCATTACCTCATTGTTTTCCATCCAGAATATTTTTCAAGCTTCTGGGTCCTCACCCAGCCTGAACCCTTTAGGGACAGCTTTTCTGTGTTTTACATCTTTCTAAAATGGTCAGGTGAGCATTGCCTCCCATGAGAGACCATGCAGTGCACTGGTTATGACCATGACCAGAAGCACCAGTCCTTCTGCTTACTAGCTGTGTAACCCTGGGCAAGTTAATTAAACTCTCTGTGCCTCAATGCCATCATCTTATTGAAAGGACAAAATGGGTTGTAGAATCTAATGTACTTAGAACAGCACCTGGCATGTAGTGAGCCTTGATAGTACTATTGTGTCCTAATGGGGTTGGTTCCTCTTCAGGCCCAGTGATGGTACCGAACAAAAGAAAAGCAGCTGAACTATATAGATGCGTAGTGCTCAGTGAAGAGCAAAGTTTCATAGAGAATAGCGATTTCCAAACCTGACTGCTTTTGAAAAATCACCAGAGGAGCTTTTCAAACATCTGATGCCTGGGCCCCACCCCCAGAGATTCTTATTTAATAGACCTGGGATGGCACCGTGTCTATTCAAGTAATTTCTGTGAAAACTAGATTTGAGCATCCTGTGTAGAGCAATTTCATCCAAACCTTCAATAAAAGGGGACCAGGAATTCACTGCACACACCCCTCTTGTCCTTCTCATCAGTGCAGTCTCTCATCCTGCTGTCCAGACATCTGCAGGACACTCATCACTGTCAAACCCTGTGCTACGCATAGCGAGTACAAAAGTCACCAAAATCTCACCTTCAGTGGTGTGCGGTGGATCCACAAGTACTAAATGTGTGAATGCTCCAAAATACATGGTTGAATGAAAAAAAAAAAAGCAAGTTGCAGAATAGCATATCATGTTTCAAAAAAATGTTAAGTACATTACTATATTGTTTCTGTGGGTGCATAAAAACATGAATGCGACTTCAAAGAAAAAGATCTGGAGGGACAACTCTTATGTGTGATATTTTACAACATAATATTTTCATTTTTATGAAAATTTTTAAAAACTTTTTGATAATTCTAGCAGATTGGAGGGGGTTCTAGAAATAATTGCATTTAGCTAAGATAGATATCAGCTTGCCTATTAATGGTGACAAAGCAGTTGGCCTTATCAGACATGGTTTTATCCAAAAAACTCATTTTGTAACAGAGAGCCATGCTCCAAGAAATGGGACGTCAGATAGTACAGAAGGCAGAGGAAAGAGAACTCTGGGTAAGGAACAAAGTAGGCCTAGAAGCCACAGATGGTCTCTGCAGCTTTTATGTTTTCACCTGAGACTGGTCTGCCTAACAAGCTGAAAGCGGGACATGGTTGTCTGAGTCTACTCTTCTAATGGAGATTCTCTTTCCTACTGCAAATTAGAATCCTGTGGACAGGTTGACCACAATGGCAATCCCGAACCCAGTCCTACTGATGTAGTGTGTTTGGGAGGTGGGGCCTGGTTTTAACACAACCAGGGTCAGACACATTGTGGGAAGAATCATGCATGCTCACACACATTCTGGCACCATCCCAGTTAGGGCAAAATCATGCCTGCCAAATACTCCAAAGATGACATGAATCAGAAATGCTTCTTGAATTCTTGAACTTTTAGGAAGAATTAAGTGAGAAAAGGAAAAATGCCTGTATTTTTGTATCATGTGATTCTCATATTATATCCTGTGTTTGGTTTGTTTCAGGCTCGACTGACCAAAGAACATCGCTGGGGAAGTGCTTTACTTTCTAGAAACCACTCCTTAGAAGAGGAATTTGAAAGGGCAAAAGCAGCAGTGGAGGTAACTTTTTTTAGAATTTTTTTTTTCCCCGTTTCTGAGATTGGCATTCAAAAAAAAACTCAAATTTCCACAGGATACATATAAAGTGAAACTTACTATAAACATAGGGGAAAAAAAAAACATTATTATGATTGTCAGAGTGAGACTTGTTATCAGAGAACCTTTGATTTCCCACCAGGAAGTCACTTCCTTTGTCAGTTCTGTGACAGATTAGCACCAACTGTCTGGAATCCTGGGTCAGAAAAGGGTCTGAGCCTGGTCTAGGTTCCCTGGTGAACCAATGCCATTTATTTGCTATACCATGTTGAGACCAAATTCATGCCTAATATTTTTACTTCTCTAGCATCTAGCACAAGGTTTGAAACGAAGGTTTTGCTGCCCTTGGGTATTATGTATTTTCCCATAATGCATAATATGTATGTATTATGGGAAAAAGGTCATGACTGGAATATTCTAGCTAATGGATAACCCAATTTGTCCTGAGCCTAAGTTTGTTTTTTTTAATTGAGAGTTCAAAATATTGTTTTTTAATGTTATTGTATTTTTATACCTTTATTTTACTTGTTATATTTATGTGCTGCTGAGGATCAAACCCAGTGCCTCATGCATGCTAGACAAGCGCTCTACCACTGAGCTATAGCCCCAGCCCAAGAGTCCAAAATATTGTTGATAAATAAAATAAAATACTTGATTTAAACATTGATTTCCATATTTAGCCTTCTAATGAGTAGAAGCAGGAGATGGGGAAAGGAAGCCAAGGAAAAAATAAACAAAAATCTGCTTTGCTGTTTTTTTATCCATTTCCTTCCTGGCTGAAATCGGAGAGTGCCTCACAGATGCTATCTACAATGCTCACCAGAGCTTTCCTAGATTGAAGTTTGAGAGGGAGCATTTCAGTGAGCTCAGGCATGAGCTTGTTAGGATCTCCATTTCTATTACCGATATGTAGTCTTGAAAATTGAAAGCATTCTCGGAACAGGATTCATTTATGTGGCAGTCTAACCCGTAGGATTCAGATGAAATGATTATACTATGGGTGGTCTTCCAGTTACTCTATATTTGCAGTTTAATATTACAAGGATTCCTTCCACACTGAGAATTAATTCTGACCACAATTTCATATCATCATTCAGAAACTCGCAAAAGAATATTTTTATCTCATCACACTAAAATCAATCCAAATTTCTTTTTTCAATATTAACATTCATTAATTTTTAAAAAAAGCTAATGGAAATTTAGTACCCTTACTGTGATCAACTGATACACTTGGTTGAAACTAGCAGGGTTCAATCAAATGGCTCAAATAGCATGGAGCCTATAGCTTAATTTATCTAAAATAGCTTTTCCAGACTTTAGAGCTAATTTAAATTTTATCTTTTGAACTCCTACAATGAGTAGCACATTGAATTAACGCTCAAACTATTATTTAGAACCATAGAATGAATCTTGTGTTAGGAAAAACATTAGAATTTATTTAGTTCCTCTTATAATTAGAAAAATAATAGATTCACCCTCAAAGGATTTCATCACCAAATAATAAATCAACAATGAAAAAATAACTACCTATATATCAGGATATATTTTCACAAAGTCATTTAATCTTCATTTTGGTAGAGACCTTAGAAGTTATCTATCCCTACCAAACTCACAAAAGTTTTTTTTCTTTTAAAAAGCATTTGACAAATTATTGCCCCATTCATACTTGAACATATCCAATTAGGAGTGACTCACTTCTTTTCAAAAACCACATTTCAGTTGGGCCAGTACTAATTAGCAAAAGGCCCTTCTTTATATCTTGCTGAAATTGGCCTACCAGGAAGTTCAGATTTTGCTTGGTCTTGACTTTGCCCTCTCTGGAGCAAGGCAGAATTAGTTTCATTCTCTACATGACGCCCACCTCACCTACTAAGTCATGTCTTCTCCTGGCTTCTCCTGAGTCATTATTCCAACTCATCACTGATAGCAATGTGGCAGCATATATCTCATTAATCAACCTAGACCTCAGCTCCCACACCTCTGTAGTCCTTTCCAGCCACAAATCCTAGGAGGCTGTGAGATACTCTAAATAGTTATTCATTTAGCAAACATTGCTTGCTGTTCACATGTACTGGCTGTTGAACTAGGCACTGAAGTTAAAGAAATGATCCAGTCTTAAGCAGCTATCCAGCAATAGCATGGACCATGGGACCAACTTGGACCAATCTCTTGCTCCCTCTCTTTTAGTTTCATATCATCAATAAGGTGAGGGACTTGTATTTCTACTATACCAAAACCTGTAAGTTTATGCCTTTGAGTGAAAAGAATGCTAAGTACAGAATTCCTAGCAAGTCAGAAAACTATAAGTGAGTTTTTTCAGCTAAAAGTCTGTCCCTGAGAAGCTTTGCTAAGGAATGCAGGGAGAGGATGCCAACCAGAAGGTAAGAACAGGTGTGGAGAAAAAAAGTCTGGGAGCGTGAGGGAGGAGGGTAGAGCATTTTACCCTAAGCTAGTGATAAATCACACCTATAAAACTTCACACATATGTGAACTATTTACTTCCAGAAATTATCCTTACCCAGAGTATTACTATATTCACTGTAGAAGACATGATAATAAGCATCAGAGTCTTAGAAATATACATGTCCATTGACCTAGTCACCTTTTAGAACTTATCCTGGAGAAGTAATTATGAAAGATTGCTTCATTTTGCCTATATCTCTTTTGAAAATAGTGAGTATATGGAAAAAGTCTGCATATCTCAACTACAATAGATGCTAATATAACTTAGAAGTCAGAGTCTCATATCAAAATGCTGTGTTAGCTATTTAAAATGACATTATAGAAAAATATTAAGATTATGTAAAAATAGTTAGTGTAATTAGAATAACTGTCTAGGTCCTGACAGTTTTACAGTATAATCACAGCTTTGTAAAATCAACAGCATAATGTCTTGAAGTATGTACTAGGTGCCAGGCACTAAGTCAAGAGTGTTATGTGGATTCTCTCTATTAATGCTCACAGCAGTCCTATGAAGAAGGTAATATTAATATTCCTATTTTGCAAAAGTAAACTGAAGGTTAAGGAGGTTGTAGTTATATGGCATTTTATAAGCAGTTAAAATAGATTTACGAATGAGTCTCCCCAGGCTCCAAAGTCTGGAAACCACTGTACTATGTAGGTATAAAGAGTGTCTATGTTTGTTTTTTTAGGCTGCTATGACAAAACAACTTAGATTGGGTGATTTATAAACAATTGAAATGCATTGCTCATAATTCTGAAGGCTGTGGAGTTCAAGATCAGACTCAGTGTCTGATGAGGGACAGTTCCTTATGGACGATGCCTTCTTGCTGTGTCTTCATGTGGTAGAAGGGCAAAAAAGGGTACCTAGTTCCCTGGGGTCTCTTTAGTGAGCTCCACCTCATCTCCTAACAAAGGCCCAAACCCCTAATACCATCACCTTGGGTCAACACATGACTTATGGGGAACACATACTCAGACCACAGCAAAGTCTGTGCCCAAATGTTAACAGTAGTTTTTCTTGGATGGCTGAATTTGGAACAATTTTTGTTATTCTTCTGTTGGCTTCTCTGTATTTTCCAAACATTCTGTCTTAAACATGTATTATCTTGGTAATCAGGGGGAAAGTTGCCCATTACGACACTATAGTGCAATGTAAGATTCTGAAAAGAACTAAAAATGTCTTAATCATCATTAAAAAAAAATGGCACTGCAGATTGCCTTTGACAGAGTCAGTTCTAAATACCAGTAGGATACTGATGGAAATCATGCCTGGAGCAACTTGAATGTCTCCAAAATCTCCACCTTATTTTTGCATATCATCTGATTCCAGGGTTCCTTCTATTTCTTGTTCTATTCCTTTTTGTTCATTTGTCATCATCCTGCCTCCTGATGGGGCATCTGGTCCCCTGCCCATCACCTTCTCCTGCCCCTGCACCTCGCTGAGCTCCACACATACTCCTTTCTGCCCATCCTCTCAAGCACCAAGTTCACTGCCCATTTCTTTCTCTTCTCTTCTCTTCATGGGGAGCACCCTCCCCTCAGGTCTACAGGCTGCAGTATCCTTCTTGTTGTTCAAGTTTTAGCTGGAGAGTAACTCCTCTGGAAAACTGAACCCAGTTGCTATCACATCTCCCAGGACTTGTTTTTCATTCTTGTGTTTATCCCTGGGTCTATCTAAGAATAGGAGCCTTGTCTCTTGTTTACCACTATATCGCCCAATAACTAGAACCACGTCTGGTATATACTCAATAGATATTTTCCAAGTGAATGAATGTACAGATGATATGAACAACACTTTTTTTTATCTCTTTCTGTTGTGTATAAAGTGACACATAACCTTCTAATGTAATCGTATCTGCATTTTGATGCCTGACATAAACAAATGATTCTGTCCTGAAGACTGTGCTGCATTGTCCTCTGCAGTTGTCTTGATCTCAATGTCAATCAGTTATACACACTTAGAATAATGAAGGAAGGGCCAACCAATTTTGCCATAATGTAACATTGGGTATGTTTTGTATTTTACATGGTAGGAACTCATTTTTGCTTGTACCAAGTTAATCCTGAAAACATGCAACTCAACTAATTATTGAGCTGAAAAACCCTAAAATACAATATCCATTACTGATGAAAAACAACTAAGACTATAAGTACATTTATTGCATATATTGAATGACCTGGAAACCTGCATATGTGCAAGACTGACATTCATTGATCGGGGTCACAATGAATGGTTAAGTCTGATGAAGGCTTGTATAGGTAAGGCTTTTTCTCTCCATGTTATATGTTTTATTGAGATAAATTACTGTACATTCACCTCTGACCAGAATGTTGTGTTGTTAGCCAGACTTTAAAAAAAAAAAAATCCATCATTCCTGTATAAAAGGTAGAGGTACTTCCTCTATGCTTTTTCCTGGATTTTCCTCATAGCAAGCAGCCTATATGCACTGTCAGTTACAGTAGGTTCGCGGGAAGAATGCACAGGGAATCCCAGAAACAAG